TAAATGAAGAAAAGATTAAAATTGTCAAGGATTTCACTTGGGTCCATGGAAGCAGCAGTCAAGAGACCAAATTGTGTATTACATTGAGCAAAGTTGCTGCAAAAGACTTCTTTAAAGTATCAAAAGCAATGATTTACCTTGAGAACTAAGGTGCATATGACAAGTCATAGTATTTTCAGTCATCTCATATACACGTGAAAGCTGGACAATAAATAAGGAAAACTCAGAAGAATTGATGAATTTGAATTACAGTGTTGGTAAAGATTATTGTCTTTACCGTAGACTCCTTGAAGAAATGAACAAATCTATCTTGGAAGAAGTAAGTACAGGCTGAAGAATTCTTATTGGAAGACAGATAGCAATGTACTTTGGACATGTTATCAGGCAAGACCAATCCCTAGAGGAGATACCATCCTTTGTAAAGTAGAAGGTCTGTTTCCTTTTAGTAAAAATGATGGAGACACTCAATAGGATTGACACAGTAGCTGCAACAATGGCTGAAACATGGCAGTGATTGTCAGGATAACACAGTACTGGCAATGGTTTATTTGGTTGTACATTAGGGTCAACTCGACAGCATCTAATAACATTTTCCTATTCACTGTCACATTCTCAATAACCTTTCTTGTTTTTGCTTTTTTTTTTTTTTTTTTTTCATCTTCTCAACTTCTAAAGTTTAGGAGACCCCTGGATTCAGGCTCACACCTTTTTTTCTGAAACTGTGTTGAGAACTGGGTGAAGGTTTACAGAGAAAATCATCAGTTTTACATTCAACAAATCATATGCTACAGTTATCACATTTCCTTCCTGTAGTTCTATTTCTAGTCCACCCATCTTCCTGTCCCTTCTTAGCTTTGTTCTTAGGTAAATGTTGCCCTGGGGTCTTGAATGGTTGACAATTCCATGGTGAGCATACCTTACCCGTGCTGTTGTCTCCCCATATTCCTGTCTATTGCTTGGATGAACATTGGACCCACAAGGTTGAGTTCCATTTCAGGCCCTAAGGTGGCTGAGGGCCATAGTCTCGATTCCTCTAGTCTCTTTCTGACCAGTAAGCCCAATCTTTTTCTATAATTTTGAATTTTGTACCACATTTTCTCTTACTTTCTCCAGGACCTTCTAATGTGATTTCATTCAGGGCAGTTGTAGTGGTTGCCAGGCACCATTCTAGTTCTGGTCTTATTCATAGTGATAGACGTTACCATGGTCCTTTGGTCCACTGGACTAATTGACTCCAAGCAACTTCAATTCTAATCACTCTTCTTACTTCCACACATGGAGGGACCAACAGCTACCCCTTAGGTGGCCACTCATGAGCTTTTAAGATTCCAGCTGCTTTTTCTCACCCAAGCAGGATGTAGAACATTGTCTTAGTGGACTACGTTATGCCAGTTGGCTGTGGTGTCCCCTGAAACTATGGTCCTGAGCCCCCAGGCCCAGGAACTCATGGCCTTAAGATGTTTGGTAATATCTAAGAAGCTTTCTTTTTGCCCCCTCTATGCTTCACCTCATTCATTGATTGTTGCATTCCTCCCTGTGTCTTCCCCTGTCTTCATCATTCTTTTGCCAAGCTCTTTATTCTTGTATCTTTCCCTCCCCATCACTCTAGTTAACATATGTCTACCTTCTAGCCAGTGAATTACTCTTTCTTCCCTCCCACCATTGGTGACCATCAAAGAAAGTTTCTTTTAGCATGACAATAATGTATTGAATTTTTATAATAGTGGTCTCATACAATATTTGTAATTTTATGATTGACTCGACGGCACTTAACAACAACAACAACAATTTCACAAATGTATAAACATCTCAAGATGAGAAATAGCTGTAAACATCCATTAATAATTAGAACATGGAATTTATAAAGTATGAATCTAGTAAAATTGTAAGTTGTCAAAAATGAAATGGAACATGTAAACATCGATATCCTAGGCATTAGTGAACTGAAATGGACTGGTATTGGCTATTTTAAATCTGACAATCACATGGCTTACTCTACCAGGAGTGACAAATTGAAGAGGAAAGGTGTCATATATATCATCAAAAAGAACATAGGAAGATCTGTCTTGAAGTACAATGCTATCTTTCATAGAATAATATCCATATGCCTACAAGGAAGACGAGTTATTACACTATTATTCAAATTTACACACCAACCACTAAAATCAGTGATGATGAAATTGAAGAATTTTACCAACTTCTTCAGTTTGAAATTGATCAAACATGCAATCCACATGTGTTGGTAATTACTGACATTTAGAAGGAAATATTAGAAACAAAAAAGGATCAGTAGTTGGAAGATATGTCCTTAGTGATAGAAATGATGCTGGCGATCCGATGGAATTTTGTAAGATTGATGAGTTGTTCAACATAAAAGACAATTGTACACATGGATTGTACTGGTTGGAATACACAGAAATCAAATTGACTACATCTGTGGAAAGAGATGGTGGAAAAATTCCATATCATCAGCCAAAACAAGGCCAGGGACAAACTGGAACAGACTATTAATTGCTTATATGCTAGTTCAGACTGAAGCTGAAAAAAATGAAAACAAGTCCACGAGAGCCAAAATATGACATTGAACATATTCCACCTGAATTTAGAGATCGAACAGATTTGATACATGAGACACTAAAGACAAAAGACTAGATGAGTTGTGAGATGACATCAAGAACATCATACAGGAAGACAGAAAAGGGTCTTTAAGAAGACAAGAAAGACAAAAAAAAATTAAAATGGATGTCAGAAGATACTTTGAAACTTTCTCTCCAGTGTAGAGGTACTAAAGCAAATGGAAGAAATAGAGGTAAAAGAACTGAGCAGAAAATTTCAAGGGTAGTTCCAGAAGACAGAGTTAAATATGATGAAATGTATAAAGATCTGGTGTTAGAAAACCTAAAGGGAAGAACACCCTCAGCATTTCTCAAGCTGAAAGAACTGAGGGAAAAATTCAAGCCTGAACTTGTAATACTGAAGGATTCTATGAGCAAAATATTGAATGATACAGAAAGCATTAAAAGAAGATGGAAGGAATCTGCAGAGTCACTGTACCAAAAAAATATGGTTGGTGTTTAACCATTTTAAGATGAAGAGTCAGTGATACTGAAAGAACAAGTCCAATGTGCACTGAGGGCATTGACACAGAGCAAGACTCCAGGAACTGATGGAATGGAAATTGAAATCTTTATAGTTCTAGGTTTTACATTTAGGTCTCTCTGCCCATGTTTAGTTTGTTTTTGTATATGGTTTGAGGTTTGTGTCTTTTTTCATTTTTCTGCAAATTGATTTCTAGTTTTGTCAGCATAATTTGTTGAAGAGACTTTTCTTCCCCATTTAAGGTATTTTACCCTTTGTCAAAGATCAGCTGCCTATGTATGGATGGCTTCTGTGTTCTCACTTCTGTTCCATTGATCTATGTATCTTTGATTGTAACAGTAGTAGGCTGTTTTGACCACTGTGACTGTGTATGGCCGCCAACTTTGTTCTTCTTAAGTAATGCTTTGCGTATCTGAAGTCTCTTTTCTTTCCATGTGAAGTTAGTAATCAGTTTTTCCATCTCTTTAGAGAATCTGAATTGGTACTATGCTATAGCTATAGATTGTTTGGGTTGTTACACCTCCTTTTTTTCATATGTTACACATTTTTTTTTGTCTTTATCCTTTTTTATTTTCACTTCCTTGTTTTTTTGAAGTCCATTCTCATAAAGCCTAAGTACCATCTTTATGTTTGTTGGTGTTGGTGTTGGTGTTAAGTACCGTTGAGTCGGTTCCAACTCACAGCAACCCTGAATAGGGTTTCCAAGGAGCAGTTGGTGAGTTTGAACAGCTGACCATGTGGTTCAAACCGACCTTGCAGTCCATTGCTTTGTCCTACAGCACCACTCCAGGACTCCATGTGTACATTTGAAACTCGCAAATTGTAGCAGTAGCCTAGATCCTTTGTGAGAACTCCATACTACATATCTCCCCTGCCTACTCACCATCTCCACGTGGGTATGTCATGTTGTTGTTAAGTTGTTGTTAAGTGCCGTTGAGTCGGTTCCGACCCATAGCGACCCTGTACAGGGTTTCCGAGGGTGTAAATCTTTACGGGAGTAGAAAGCCTCATCTTTCTCCCGCGGAGCGGCTGGTAGTTTCGAACATAGACTTCTCAAATTTAGCATGTCCAGTCACACTGAGAATTGCTATCGAATATTTACAAATAAGATAATGTTTGTGTTGTGCTCTTTTAATAAGTTTTTCGTTCTCTTATACTTTTCTCTCCTTACTCTAAAGTCAGCAGAGTCTGCATTTAGCAATGTACCTCTTAAGATTGCTTGACTAATATCTGATCATAATAATTTCTCTTATTTGTAGTCTTCCTTTTTGCTCAGGTTGACTTTACCCTTCCAGTAATTCTTTATCAGTCATTTCATTTACAGGTACTTGTTGAAATGTGGTTTTTGTCAGTGGAAGGGACTTACTATATATGTTGTTGTTGTTAGGTGCCATTGAGTCGGTTTAGATTCATAGCGACATAGACAATAGAACAAAACACTGCCCAGTCCTGTGCCATCCTCACAATTGTTACTACTGCTGCTGTGCTAGTCCATCTTGTTGGGGGTCCTCCTCTTTTTCACTGACCCTCCACTTTACCTAGCAGGATGTTTTTCTCCAGGGACTGGTACCTGCTGATAATATGCTAAAAGTCTGCTAACTTTCAAAGATGGTTGGTCTGATTAAATCCATTAACTTTCAACTCCATACTTTAAACTCTCATTTAAAAAAAAATGTATCGTGAAAACTTCTACTAAATATTTTTGTATTACACTACAGACTTTGGAAAGCATGGGTTTTCTGTCATCTCATGGTTCCTGGAAACCTAAAGAAATAGAAATTATTTTTAGCTATTTTTCTTTCTAGCTGTATTTTCATTATGGACTGTGAAAGCATTATAACTGCAAACATTAGTAAGTATGTGAACTTTTTTCTTTGCTTTTTTTTTTTTTTTTCCTATAGCTGATCATTTTCATGGCATTAGCTGATGGAGTTTCTAGAATAAAAACAGGACCAGTTACACTCCATACACAAACAGCTATACATTTTGCTGAACAACTAGCAAAGGTAAGTATTTCATCAGAAAGAGAAATGAATTTTTATTTTAGCTAATTAAGGTCAAATTGTAATAAACAGAAAATATAATAATAATTAAAAATGCTATCACTAAGCACTTCTGTATGTTGCAGGCACTAGGTAAACTCAGCAACTTATCTAAATTGTTATAGTCAGCCTAATCCATTGTAGGTGGCTCTTTAGTATTATTCCCATTTTATTTATGAGTAAATTGAGGCATACAGATTATAAATTGCTCAAGGCCACATAGTTCCTCAATGGCAGAGCTAGGCTTGAAGCAAAACCAGGAAAGTATACTTCAAAGCCTTTCCTAACGATTGTGCAGTACTGAACTGAACACAGAATCAGTAAAGATACTTTTGTGGGAACTCTGTAATTCAATCATAGGAACTTATAGTTTGCTTTAAACTTAAATATTTATATACAATTTTTAGTGTTTTATTTTCTTCTGATTCTGTTGGTGGAATGCCCAGAACATTTGCTGAAATTCCAGCATTCATCAGTCCTCTGAAATTTAGAAGAGTAGGTTTTTAAATTTTTATGAAAAAAGATTTAACATTGTATAATGTTTGTATTTATATCTTTCCAACAGGATTATGAACTTTAAAAAGATAGTATATATGTGATGGAGTTTCAGAAAGAAAGTTCATATGAAACATTCCATTATCTTTTAATTCCATTTCTTCCATTAACTTCTTGAAGTTCTCTCATATTTTCATAATAAAACGAATATAAACCCTTTATAGAAAATAGAGGGGAAAACCCACACATAATTCTCCCCTACCAGCAAAACAACTGTTAGCATTTATATTTTCTTCCTCTTGAAATTGTTTCTTTTTTTATTTTTTATAACATGTTTTAGTTGTCTAGTACTGCTATAACGGAAGTAGCAGCCGTGGAGGACTTTAACAAACAGAAACCTATTTTTTCACAGTTTAGGAAGCTAGAAGTCTGAATCAGGATGCTGACTGTAGCGGAAAGCTGTCTCTCTTTCTTTCTCTCTGCTCCTGGGTGATCATCATGTGCCTTAGTGCCTCTCTTTCCCCGTCTCTGCTTGCTAGCTTGCTTCTTTAATATCTTTTATAACTCATTCCAAATGTGATTATAACTACAGGCCAAGAGGTTAGGATTTACAAACACATTTAGGGAGACACAGTTCAATCCCTAACATGTCTTCTGTTCTTTTCTTGCTGTTTTCATGAACATGAGGCGTTATTTCCATTTTGTTAGCCTTTATAATGTGATTTTGCAATACATGAAATTTATAATGCAAAGTGTTTTATAAGGGAATATGCTTACTTTAAATTTTAAAAGTAAACATTATTTTAAAAAAATTAACATTACAGAAGTAGATTGAACAAAGTACTAGACTACTAATCACAAGGTTGGCAGTTCAAACTCACCAACCGTTCTTCAGATACCCTATACAGGGTCACTATGAGTTGGAACCAACTTGATGACCCTTACAACAGCAACAACCCTACTTCTGATAGTTTGCATTATTCTTAATAATTACACTAAATTCTTTTTGTTACTAGAAAGCATAGTATGTTTTATTTAAATTGTAAGAAAATACTGATGGAAATTGAATGCAAATTATATATGAAGTCAAGAGATAATGTCACTATATTTTATTCTACTTAACATGTTATATTTATAGCTACTGTGTGTCTGTGTTCCCTTGCAGTCTGTGATAGACTTCATAGCAGAGACAGTTTTATTTACTGTAGTTGTCACGTTAGCAGTTGTTAGGTGCTGTCAATTCAGATCCAACTTGTATACAACAGCATGAAACACTCATGTTATTTGAAGTGAACACACAGTGGGAAGTTCTGTGACCTTGAATTTAGGAGCTCTGGTTTCTTGTTCAGCTTTGTTATGTATTAACTAGGTAATTTGGGTCAAGTTGTTTCACTTTTCTGTGCCTCAGTGCAGATAATTCATCTATAAACTCAGAGACTTGAGCTAGATAATCCCTTAGATTCTTTCCAATTCTAAATTTTTTAGTTTTAAGTTGCTGTGTGTTGACGAGTCAGTTCCTGCTCATAGTGACCCTGGATAGGGTTTCCGAGGAGTTGCTGGTGGGTTTGAACTGCCGACCTTGCAGTTAGCAGTCCAGTGCTTTTCAAAATACATTGATGGAGATCAAATATCTCAAGCCTAGACTTAAATTAACAAGTGAAAAATGTAATGTTAATCCCAATAGCAGCAGGGAGGAAGATGTTTCTCAACCCCTAATCCCATCCTTCTCTGAACTGAATCTTTTTGAATAGTAAATTTAGGGATTAAATTGGCAAGAAAAAATCAGCTATATTCTGGTGAGCTCTGATTCAGTAAGTATTGATTGAGTGGTGCCCAAGCATAAATATTTTGAATAAACTCTGCATGAAAAAGAAACATGGTTCTAGAATAAAATATTTTATTTTATTACTCTTAAATTTTTCATGCATCATTTGGTCTTTGTATCTCTGTAGTTTCTTGAGTAACTGGAAGTTATGGCATTTTTCTCTTTGTTTTCATCATATTATTTATATGCTAACTACTTTCTGGTTTCAGGCTAAATTTACTGTGAAGAAGTCAGAAGATGAAGAAGATGCCTCTAAAGATGCTTACATTATTGAGTGCCAAGGAGTTGGGATGACCAATCCAAATGTATAGGGTATTTGCCTTTTAAAGGATACCTAAATATGTATTGCACTAATTCATGTCATAAATTCCACCAAATGTCGAATAAGAAGTAACTTATTGGAGATAAAATATTTTAGGTTTGCTGAGAAAATTTCATGAAATCCATTTCTCTTTGAGTAAATATCTCCTGAGATATGGACAGTGAAATATAAAAGTTGGTGGTTATGTAAAAATGTATTGAAATAAAATATTCTTTTTACCTGAACTAAGTGTACTTTCCTTTTTTATATCATAAAGTATAGCTTTTTTTTTTTTTTTTTTAATGTTTTATTGTGAATGATGTGATAGTTTACATGGAAAAACATCATTGCCATGGTTACAATCCCCTCCGTGCAGCATCAACCAACCAAAAGGTATACCCTGCAAGCCTGCCCCCTGGTCTTCACCACACAGCCCCTCTCCCTCTCTGGATCTAAAATCCCCAGCTGCTCCATCTCTCCACATCATCATCTTTGCCTCCATCTCTGGCATCACTGTTTCTCTGAGTAGGGTCACTTTCTCTCCTCTTCTCCCTTGATGGTCCTAGGAACCTCTGCTCCTAGGCTGCAAAGTTAATCACTTCCCTCCTTTCTACAAAACATCTACCTTTACATTTCCAACCCTCACAATCAGTCCTGATAACAATTATTCACTATTGTATCACAAGAGACCTATCTGCATCTCCTTTCATCAGCCCCGCCCAGACAGATTAGATACTACGCAGTGGAGATTCTACCTTCCTCTTCACCCTCTGGATCTAGGTTCCCTCTTGAAAGCTTGTAAGCCAGTCACTTCTTGCCTTTGTAGCCCCCCCACCCCATTTTGGGTAGCCAATGTCCAAGTTACCCATCCCTGTCTACTCTGTGTATGGAGGGGGTGGGAATGATCCTTGCTGTAAGGATTTGTTCCCTCTTTTAAGCTACTGCATCCATAGGTGTAGGTCAAGTTCATCAGATTACTCTTTTTTTCCTCCTCTTCTCCTAGTTGAGCTCTGATCATCCAGTCATTGAAGCCAGGTCAAGTGGTTATTATCTGCAAGTGTGGGTGTTCTTATGCATATGCCCTCCCTTTTTATCAGCTGGATGCTTCACTCTCCTCTCTAGTCCTCTGTGGCTATGTCACTGACTCTGGGCCCAAGAGTTCCCAGATCTTGCCACACTGCTGGCCGACCAGGTCTCCACCTGGGTTCACAAGAGTCTATTGAATGTTGTAGGCCTTAGTACTTCCCCTTATTGGTGACGAACATGGTCACCAATCAGAGCGTGTATTCCCATTGAGTCTTATAGTCTTAGAAGGGAGTTTGCCCTAAGGGGGCCAAACCACTTGACTTGATGTCTTCTGGACGAGCAACCTGCTTGTTCTTGTAGTAATCAATTGGACTGCCTTTATTGTTTTGTATTTTTCCTGTCAGTCTTTCTTTTAAAAAGTATCTTCTGTTCTTGCTGCTCTAGGCTGGTCTACTTGTCCTTTGAAGTGGAAATTTTCTACCTCAGAAGATTCTGGATATGGTTCAGGATTCCACCTATGGTCTATGTAATGCAGAGGCTCCACAGGAAGCATTCTTCACTGGGTACATTGTAGCTCCATTTTAGATGTTCCAATCAGTTATAGGCAGAAGACGGACTTACAAGCTTTCTATGGTGATATTTCTGGGTATTCCTTTTTCTCCCCCTCAAGTGTCTATTTTATAATGGTATGCCATGGAAAGCAAGATTCAAAAGACAGCCAAGCAGTTTAACATTATTTTTCCCCTTTTGCCCATTCCAACCATGTCTCAATCCCTGTATCCCAGAGTCCTGTTGTTCCAAGGTTTTGCATACATCATTATTTACCTCTGTCCCACTTAACCCATGCAAACCTGCCTAATTGTTTTCTTGTCTGCTTTGTTCTTCCGTTCCCTTCCCCCTTCTTGTGTATTGCCTCCCTCCCTAGCACTGAAACTGTCTTGTGTCTATTCCCTACCCTGTGCTTCCACATTCCCTCCCTCCCCTCACCCCACTCCCCTAAGTCCCAGTAACTAGCAAAGAATCCCCACCTCCCTTTAGTATGGGTTCTTTTTCTTAGTCTTTTACAGTAGTGTTCCTATGCAGTATTTCTCCTTTTGTGACTGACTGATTTCATTCAACATAATGTCCTCAAGGTTCATCTATGTTATGTGGTGGCTTGCAGCTTCCTTGTTCTTCTTCAAGGTAGCATAATATTCCATTGTGTATATGTACCACAGTTTGTTTATCCATTTCAGTTGATGGGCACTTAGGCTTTCTCCATTTTTTTGCTATTGTAAATAGTGCTGCTATGGACATTGGTGTTCATATATCTACTCGTGTTATGGCTCATATTTCTTGTGGGTAAATACCAAGTAGAAGAATTGCTGCATCATAAGGTATTTATATCATAAAGAATTGCTTTTTATAAGTTGTGTATAGTTCTGACCACTCTACTAAGTATAATGAGATAACTATGTAAATGTGTCAATAATAACACTTAATAAACGTCTTATTAGATGTACCTTCTGCCTACTAGACACTTGGTAAATAGTTATCAAATTTGAATTTGTTGATTATGTTTTGAAAATAAAGCAGGGTTGCAAAAATTTAACCCTACTAGAGAAGCTCTGGTAGCGTAGTGGTTACGAATCGG